TCTATGCTGTCCATTCTCGTCAGCAGTTCGTCCAATCTTTTTTCAAGGTTCCTATTTTCTTTGCGATGGGTTAGAACATGTTCTTTTAGCTCATTGTAGTTTCTTACTACCCATCTTCTGAAGTCTGATTCTGTCATTTCATCACCCTCCTTCTCCATCCGGTCTGGTTCCCTTGCTGGTGAGGAGTTGTGATCACTTTTAGGAGGAGAGGTGTTCTGGTTTCGGGAGTTTTCATCCTTTTTACGCTGGTTTCTACCCATTTTTGTGGGTTTATCCACCTGTTGTCTGTCTCTGTCCCAGGGAGTTGGAGCTTTATGAGTTTCCGTTGCACTACTGCCTTTTTTGATTTTTTTTTTTTTTTCAGGTCGGACCCGCCCAGCTAGCAGCACGCTTGGCCTCTGCCTGCCCGCAGGGGCTTTGCTGAGCTGCTGTGGGCTCCGCCCAGCTGCCCTGAGCTCTTCCCTGTAGTCCTTTTTATATGGGCGTAGTTAGAACTGTCTGGGCAATGGTGGCCCCGCCTCTGTTATGGCGGACTCTCTCTGTTGTGGCAGGTTGCCTCGGCAACGGCGGGTTGCCTCGGCAATGGCAGCCTGCCTCCGTAGCGGTGGAGAGTCTCAGTAATGGCGGATGCCCCTCCCCCACGGAGCCGGACCGTCCCGGTTCAGCTGTGCTTGGTTTGAAGGGCTCAACCCAGAGGGTTTCCAATTACTGTTTTTGTTTTCGTTGTTGTTGGGGGTGGAAGGCTGGGACCAACCGAGCCTGATCACCTGGCTCCCTGACTCAGAGTCTTTTCTTTTAAGTTGAACGACCCCGCGTTCCGGTCGCTTGTTGAAAAGGCGCCGGGATCTCCCGTGCTGCGACTCACGGAGTCGGCTCCGCGGCGCCGGCTCCTGGCGGATTTTTTGCCTAGGAATCTCCTGGCCTGGCTCGCTATTTCAGATGAATGGGCTATTCTGCCGTCTCAAGGCTCTGCTCGCCAGCTAAGAGGGCTCCCAGACCAGTGGCTTTTGTACGGAGAACCGCAGCAACAGGGAGTGGTCACAGCAGCCGCGCGGGCGGAATCAGCCCCGCGGGGGCCAAAACAGCCGCACCGGCTGGGACTGCGACGCTGGCGACCCCTCTGCCTGGGTATCTCCTGGTCTGTGGGCAATAAGAGTTCGTCTGGAAATGCGGCGTCCACTCACCCTCTGCACTTTCACTGGGAGCTGAAGTCCTGAGCTGTTCTTAGGCGGCCATCTTGAAAGTCCCTCCCCTATATAGTAGGATTTAAATAAAAAGTTATTGAATTAAGAAATGAATAAATTTAATTTAACAAGAGAAAAAGACTGAAGACATGAAGAAAAAGGAAAAGTCACGCTGTGTTCTCCAAAGGAGAAAAAGTGGCTCAACAGGGTCAAGGTCTAGAGAAGTAAAGAAGACAAGAGACAGGCATTGAACTTGGATTTGGCAACTGGGGCTCACCAGTTGTATCTTTTTTATAAAAGGCAGCATCTGTGAGGCAGGGTGGAGGGAGTCAGTCATTTATTGTGAATTGCATATGGAAGGGAAGGTTAGGAAAGGACCATGTGAGTATGGACTGCCAATTCAGAAAGTTCAGAAGAAACAAGGAGGGTTAAAGACACAATAAGAAAAAAGGGATTGAAGGTGTGAGAGGAAATAGGAGACAGAACAAGGTGCTGAAGGAAGATGTGGAATGTATTCCGAGCACAATTGGGATAAGCAATTTTGGAAAGGACTGAGGACAGAAAGGATGAGCAAAGGTAGAGTAGTTTGGGATGAGGAATGGAGTTGAAGGATTATCAGATCACCTAGAGCAGAGACCTCCAACTGAAGAAATAACTGGGCAGCTTCCACTTCCACTGTAGAGAAGGCTACAAGAGAAGGCATTTTCTCGGTGCTGGTCCCAGCAGGCAGGGGAGCATGGACAATGGCACTAATAGTGACTGAATTCATACCATGTACCAGGCACTATGTAGGTATATCACAGACAACTCATTTATTTCCTACAACAAGCTTTTTATTTTATAAATAGAGAAGCTAAAGTTTGGAGAGGTTAATAAGAACAGTGGTGGTACCAAAGGGTGACCTGGTGGGTGAGGTGGCTTTTCACATGCACTTCATCTTCATCAGCCTTTCAACTTCCGTATCCCCCAGTGACCATCAGAGAGAGTCATACTACCTTCCCTAAAGGCATCCTATGGAGATAATCTGGGCTTCACACTAGCTAGGTCACTTTCCCAAAGCCAGACAGATCAGGCCAAGCAGCCACACAAACTCAAGTCTAATTCCAACCAATGAAATCTTTTGACCTCAACATACTGAAGAATCAAGGCTGTAAGGCTGTGGCTTGTGAAGCAAATGAGAATTCCAGAAGAGATAGGAGAAGGTATGGGAGAGAGGGCAGTTTGAGGGTGGACTAGACAAGAGAAGGAGAGTAAACAAAATGAGGAGAGAGTGAACTCACATTGTGCTAGGTACTGTGGGTGCTGAGTATGGATCCCAGAACAAAGAGGCCAGGGTTTAGGGAGCACCTACAGTGATGTGAATGGACCCAACCTGTGCCAGGATTCTCCCTGGGGAGAAGAAGTTGTAATGGGGGGATTGCTGAGTCCTGTCTCCTGTCAGCCCTACCTTCATGGTAAAGCATCCTCTCCACTTGCCTCCCTCAGCTCTTCGTGCTCTGTTGCTGCTGCCAGCACCCCTAGAACTGGAGTGCACCCTTGATTTCAAGGGGTCTGTCACCACAGGTGGAACAATACAGAAACCACCTGATTCACCTTCTCTTTCACCTCTTCCTTAATTCGACAGTGGGCAAGGGGGATGGAAGGAAATGTGGAGAAAGAGAAAGGGTTCACTGAGAAGGGAAAGGGAAGTAAGTGGCGACAATCAGAAATACCAAGGCTTTCAAGTTAAGCCTAATTCATTTCAGGTGAAATAGGAAGCTAAGGAGGTTCTGACTTTGTGAAATTGGAATTCAAGTAGACTAGAGCTTCTGTGTCTGCATTAAAGCATTCCTGATGCTCTGTAACTTGGGAGGTAAACTGAGTGGGCTCTCTAGGGAGGGCAATATGTGGGAATGCTTCATGCAGCTATACCAGCAGTAAGAAGGAAGCATGTGAAGGACCTGCTCAGGCCATTTATGGTACAATGGTAACTTCCACAAGGGCACTAGACTGAGAAGGAAGAGGAGAGGAGCTGAGGGAGGCTTTTTAAGGAAATAACAGTTCACCATTCATCAAGAATGATCAGGAGTTACTCAAGCAAAATAGGGGCAATAAGAATTCCGGAAAGAGCAACTCCCATGAGTAAAATCCCAGATGAAAAAGAAAATTTAGCAAGTTAAGAACTTAAAAAAAAAACTCATCATAGTTGATGTGTGACACGTAGTGGGGTCTGGACTGGGAGAAGGTGGACGGAGTGGTCAAGGAACTGAGTGTGGTAAGATGGATAGGAGTCAGGTTGAAAACAAGGGCAAGTGACTTACGGTTTTAAGTCAGGAAAAAACACCATTGTGACTCAAGCTGAAAAGAGATTGGATGGGCAAGACTGAAGGCACGGAGACTTTTAGGAGGCTGTGGAAAAACTGATGTGTGTGGGATGCCTGGGTCAGTGATCTCAGCTCCATGTCCCCCTGAGAGAGGCCTTCCCTGATGCTTAGCCTAAATTAGGGCCCTGGGACCGTCTCTCTACATTTTCCCTACATGGGATTTATTAAAATTTATAATTATTCATTTCTGATGTGATTATGACTTTTACTGAATGTCTCCTTTACTAAACAGTAAATTAGTCCATGAAGGCAGGAATCTTGTCAGACTTATTGCTATCCCTATCAACTACAGCTTGCAAATAGGAAGGACTCAACAAGTCTGAATGAGTGAATGAATGGATGAATATAAAGAGAAGAGAGTGGACAGATCTGTGGGATTCTTGGGTACTGGACACAATAGGATTTTGTAATTGCTTGGATAATGGCAGCTGGTAAGGGAGAAACAGTTTCTAGTTTGAGTAGCCAGGTGGATAGTGATGTCATTTATAAGGAAAGGAGTCACTTGGGGCCAGAGGGGCTGGTGGGAGAGAGAAGCAGGTTTTTGGCAGGGGGTGGATTATGAGTTCAGCTTTGGGAAGATGGTGCTGTGATCAGATTTGGTTTTAATACTGGAAGCTACATTTAAAGTCTTCCCTACCCAAAAAATGACAAATCAATAAAGTAAATCAAACACAAACAAAGAAACAAACAAAGCAGAAATATGGATGGGCAAATCTGTTTCATCTGTTTCACTTTTATTGTTCAGCTTCCCATAGGTTTCCCTTTATAATTCTTCACTTTAGCAGAAGACAAAACAATTCATTACAGTATCAGTATGCGTCATATTAACATAGTGTCTTTATTCCACAAAAGAGTTCCATTTTCTGGGATAAATTTCACCTTTACATTCATAAGAATCAAGAAAATACATTAAGATAATGAGACTATGATATAAATCATTTTTGCTTTATTAATTTTATCTTATATTTTTGTGATCAAAATGGAAAATTGAAGAAAATGTGAGATCTTTTCTGCTTTCTTATTTTTATTTATTAAACATTTCTAAACGGAATTTTTCCATTTTGAAGGCTTTGATTAAAGTCAACAAGGATCTCCCACCTACTTAAATTGTCCTTTAAACTGCAGCTTTCATGGTGATTGGAGGAAGTGTAGCATTCCCAATAAGGCTATAACACATCAAAACTTGATTTATGAATAGTAACACTGAAGCATTATTTTAAACTTCACTTTTCAATAGCAAGGCACAGATCAAAAGAAAAAGAAACTAAAGGCTCTGAAGATTTTATTATAAATTTTAAATCCTAATGTTGGGAGATTTGCTTGAATAACAGTAAGGGAAATAATCCCAGAATGTGTTTTCAGTTTTAATACAAAAAAGTTTGTTTTCAAATTAATTCTGATTTAATTAACTTTTTTCTTTCTTTCCTCCTCCTCTTCTCCTCTCTCTTTATAGGTAGTTCAGAAGTGTATTCCTTTCCTAATTGGGCATTTGAAGGATTCAACCCATACTGACATCATCCTAAACATCCTCATAGAGATAGCAAGCTATGAGCCAGTGACTTTGAACAGTTTTCTTCCAATGCTGAAGGAGATTGGTGAGAGATTCCCCTACCTCATTGGACAGATGGCAAGGATTTATGGAGCTGTTGGGCATGTGGATGAAGTAAGTTTGGCTTTTTTCTCTCCATTCCCCTGAATTGCATTGGTACTTAATCCCATCTATTTAATCCATTGGAGCTCTATGACCTACAAATTTGTCCCGGGAATTCTGGGAGTTCCAATTTCTCTTTCAATTCCTTTACATGGACAATGGCCTCTGAGTCAAGTAGCAGGGTTATAGGGAAGATTTAGGAAGTGAGTCTTTTATTGTTGCTGTGTCACCTGAAGAAGGAGGGTTAAAATGGAGAGAGCACTGCGAGATTCAAGACCACTTTGCAGTAACAACAACTAATAAAACAGCTGTATCTGATTTCAGGTTGCAATTTCTCTTAACACAGGAAACCATCAGTAAGCACAGAATTAGATTTAATAGACTACCCTTTAATGAGAGTCCATAGCTATCATATCAATAAGTGCCTGGGCTCAGAATGTTTTCAGTCCTCTGAATGATGTTATTTGGGAGAGTGAAATAAACGTTCATGGATGTTTAAAAGTACTAGCCTAAATACTTGCATACTGACATTTTTCAGTAGGGACAACAGGATGCCATCAGAGTTTAAGGGAATTAAGCAATTAGGAAAGTTTTCAGAAATTCAAGTTCCAACTACATGCATGTCTCTCTTTTGATTTTATTTTGGGATCTAGGATTTTTATATTTTAAAATCAAAACAAATCTATAATTGACTGAGAGATTTTCCTTTAACCTACTTACATATAAAATAATTAACCATTAGATAAATATAAAATTGTCCAACTTGTAAAAGAAATTTTATAGTTCATTGAGTTCAATCCCTTGATTCTGCATAGGATAAAATTAAAAAATAGAAAAGTTATGTGACTTACCCAAACTCAGACTGGGTTGGTAACCCAGCTACAATTAGATCTTTGGTATTTTCGGCACCCATTTTTGAATTTTGTCTTAAAATGCATCTTTGGTGCTGTTTGATTATATTTCTTCTGAGATTATGGTGAGCCCCTTGAGTCCTGCCTGGCTTCCTCCTGGCCTAGGCTCTGTCTCCTCTAGCTTCCCAGAAGAGGGCGGGAGAATGGAGTTCCCAAGCTTGCACTTGTCAACATGAGGATGGATCTTGAAAGGGGATTTCTTTGGTGCAGATGTACTCTTAGTATAATCCCTTTCTGTCCACTGCTGTTGGGAATGCCTTGCCACAGTCTGCCTCCTGGCAGTGCTTTCCCCTGCCTGTCACCTTTTCTGCCAGAAGAACCCACTGGTATGTGTGAGTGTTAATAGGCCGACTTCGCCTGACAGCTGTTTAACTGAATCTGCTGACCTTGCAGATCTTTGCAAGGACCAAAAAAGTTCAACCTCTGAGGTGTGAAGCCCTGGAATCTTCACAAATGATTCATTAATGTATAGTAATGCACACTTGAATTGACTAAACTCCCATGGAAAATGTAATCTGTGAAAAACAAAAAATAGTAGCCACATGCAATCTAACCACATGCAATTATGTCACTGTCAGTTTGTCTGAACTAAGGTTGTTTCCATCTGTTTTTTCACTGCTATAAAGAAATACCTGAGACTGGGTAATTTATAAAGAAAAGAAGTTTAATTGGCTTGCACTTTCAAAGGCTGCAACAGGAAGCATGACACTGGCATCTGCTCAGCTTCTGAGGAGGCCTCAGGAAAACCTACAATCATGGTGGAAGGCAAAGGGGGAGCAGGTACCTCATGGCCAGAGCGGGAGGAAGAGAGGTGGGGAGGTCTACAACAGATCTCATGAGCACTCACTCACTATCATGAGAGCAGCAGCTTGAGGGACATCTGCCCCGTGATCCAATCACCTCCCACCAGGCCCCACCTCCAACATTGAGGATTACAGTTCAGCATAAGATTTGGATGGCAACACAGATCCAAATCATATCAAAGGCGAACCTGAAAGAGAACAGTTCATTTGGTGACATTTGTGTGACTCTCAGTGGATACCAGGAGAAGGAAAGGTAGAACAAATAGGCTGATGAATAAATTATTTCAGAATTTATATTTGTTTACTTTTTTCCCCAAAAGAAACAACTATTTCTGGTGGTTCTGATTCACCACCTACCCCGGACTCACAGCAGAGAACAATTGTAGATCAGATAATTACCAGGTATATCTAGATATTAGGATTATGTGAGGAGCTTTTAAATAATGTCCTTGGGCCCCACAGAATGCCTACGAAGTCATAATCTCCTTAGTATTTAGTAACAGAGAATATTTGAAGCGTTTTCTTTCTAGATTTAGAATCAGGACTTGCCCATCACCCATCCTGCTCTCTTCCATTAAGCCATTGTTAATCAATTTGATAATTTTCTAGACTATATAGCAGCTTAGAGTAGGCTTGGCTAAGAGTAACACAAAAATCCAAAACCACAGTCACAAAGATAGATACCCGATTCTCTTACACATAAAGAAGTCTAGAAGGCAATCTCCCTAGAGTGCCATGTTTCAGAGACCCAGGCTCCTTCTACTCTATTGCTCTACCATTCCTGAACACACCAGAAAGCATATAGCTTCTGTCTCATGGTCCAAGATGACACTGTCTCCACCCTTCACATCAATCTTTCAGCCAGCAGGAAGGGGGAAGTGGAGAAGGAAGCTTCCAGGCCGTCAAACACAACCTTTTGTTTACAACCCATTTGCTAAACAGCATAAAGCTGAATATGAGCACATGCAGCTGCAAGGGAGACTGGAACATGTCTCCTGGATTTGGGCAGTGGCCACAAGCTGAGTTAAACAGGGGACAAAGGCAGAAAAAGTGATGTTGCTGCTTCAGCTGGTCAATTTATTTCACGTTTGTGGATCTGTTTTCTTTCCTCAAAAATTAATGGCTTTATACCGGATTACCTCTCTTATGGGTCTGATATTATTTGATTCCATTATTCCATTTTATTTAGGATCAATCTAATAAAATCACCTACAAATGTCAGGCAGGCTCCTTTGCTCAGAAATAATGCTCTTTCTTGATTATTTTTAGTGCCTGAAATATTACTGTAAGAGAGTTCTTTCAGCTGTAAGGAATGCTAAAGTTCAGATGTCCCAAGAATAAGTGTAGTCATCTAAGCTGCTAGTAACAGCCTAATTTGAGTAAATCTGTCCAACTTTCTAAATAAAACCTTGTGGAACAGTATTTTTAAAGACCAAAAACTATAGGCAAGATATGTATGTACGTATATCTCTACCTATCCTCTTTCCAAAAAGAAACAAGAAGTTCCTGAGGTACATTGAGACTTGGGCATAAGGGCAGATGCCCAGTAACAGGTCTTGGGTTCCTAAGTGAAAGGAAAATGTCAATAAAGAAAGAGAGGCAAAAACTGCCCTGCAAAAGTCCCACCACTTTGTATGTGGAAAGCTTGGTCTATAGGGAACTAGTAGAACATGGGACTATATGAGGCATGGGGATTCTGGAGGTGCTTATAAGACAGCCACAGGACCCTTGTGAACTCTGGCCCCAGGATCCTCTCTCCTATCCTATTCTGTTCTCGTCTAAAAACTGACTTCATTTGAAATTTTTGTCTTTGACACCAAAGTAGTTCTTTCAGTTATGTGTAGGGATTCAAATTATCAGATAATTTTATTGCCAGGATTTAGAAGATTTTGGAAATATGGAAAAGCCAATTTAACTTTGAGATCCTGCTCTGACTTTTATAATATACAATCTATGACTGACCAGAGCATACTTTTAGACCCCTCCCTTGTTTCCTGGCTTCCAGCAAACCCCATGTTTCATCTTTAAGAAGAGCAGAGTCTCCTGAAGGTTTCTAATCCTCAGTCCAGATTTGGTCATTGGGTAGACATAGCCTAGAATCACACAAGTTATTAATTGGCTTATGCCTTACCTTTTGTGCTTGCATGAAGCCAGGTATAAGAATTGCAGGGCTGGCTACTGGGAACTGACTGGGTGTGCCTGTCTTTCAAATGAGGGCCCATCTGGGTGAGCAAACTGTTTCCCACAGCTTGATAGCATCATCACAGTTTTTCCATCTATATTGCATTCAGCAGAGGAGAGTTGTATATATACAACAACAACAACAAAAATCCTACAGATTCTTATTTTCTCTACCTCACAAATTAACTCAGGGATCTTTTTTTGTCCAAACATAAATAAAGCCATGTTTAATAGTCATATAGTGCTGGGGTCACTGTGAAGGTCATGAATGACTCACAGACCACTTCCAGGGCAGAGAAATTTGCTTCTGGGATAACCAATTAACTGTTGCCCTTGAGGTACACCTTTCAGTAAAGATCTATCCAATTCTTTATAATTCCAGGATTTACTCCATTTATCTGGTATTCTCAGTTGAAGTAAATTCATAAATAAGAAATAGTATTTGATTAAATGTACCCAAAACACAGCAAAAATACATGGGCCATTTCGTCTTTCTCAAATGAGAAGGTTGCAGTGGAAACCTTTCAGACAACAGCAGATATGACTTCTTAGTAGCACCTAAGGGTTCATTCCCCAAACATGTATCTAGCAATTCATAAATGCACTTAACACAGTGCCTGGCATATTAAAAAAATGCTTGATGCATTTCAACTAGCAGCAACAAAATAGCAGCAGCAATATAATAAACAAAACCTGCCTAGCTAGAGAGGCCAACAAGAGAGGGAAAAATACAAGTGTGATCCTACTTCCTTGCACAAAGTCTTCTGTGGTCTCATCCACTGCCTGTGGGATACTATGCAAACCACTTGGCATGGCCCCAACTTTCTTCTGTAGCTTCAGCTCTTATCTGTCCAGTCTACTTCATTCCCCTATGTTCTGACTACTCAGGATTTTATACCCTTCCCTGAACACCTTTACTCTGACATACGTTGAGACCTTCACAGCTTATTCTGCCTGGACAGTTTTCACCCCATTCTCCTACTTATCTTACCTGACCCAGCTCAAATGATGCCTCCTCTGTGAGTTCTTCTCTGTCCCCTTAGGCAAAGTTAGTCACTCCCAGTCTATAATTCCATAGTAATTTGGTTGTACCTCAAAAGTGTGATGTTGTTGTATC